GGCCTGCAATCGACATGCCATTTGTCGGGATTGTTTGATGGGTGTGTGCGATGCTGTCTCTTATACACATCTAGATGTGTATAAGAGACAGCTCTCTCTCTCTCTCTCTCTCTCTCTTGCGTGCGTGCGCACGGGGAGATATCAAAACAAAATGCAGCACTCCGTCCATCAGACAACAAAGAAAGACGAAATGCACCCTGGGCCTCTGGGTTGGGCACAAGGAAGGTAGAAAGCAAGGAGGGAGGGCGGGAGCTAAGGGGGAAAAGAGGGAGGGAGCCCCGAGAGAGGATGAAGGGTCATGGGAGGAGGGAGGGAGGGTCAAGGAAGACAGGCGAAAGGAGGAAAGAGGGAGCTAGAAGTGAGAGCCAAGGGAGGGAGGGAGATAGAAGTGAGGGTCGATGGAAGGAAGGAGAGGGAAGGAGTGAGGGCCAAGGGAAGAAAGCACGGAGGGAGAAGTGAGGGCCGAAGGAAGGAGGGAGGGAGAAGCGAAGGAAGGAAAGAGAACAGTGGGCCGAGGGAAGGGAGAAGGGAGGGAGACGTCAGGCCGAGGGAAGGGAGGAGGGAGGGAGACGTCAGGGCCGAGGGAGGAGTGATGTTGGAGAAAGGAGTGAGAAGGGAGAGAGGGCCGAGGGCCAAGGGAGATAGGAGGAGGTCCGTCGGAGGTCGAGAGTAGAAAGGAAGTAAAGGAAAGAGGAGAGTGGACTGAGGGCGGACAGAAGATGGAAGTGAAGCAGAGATCAAATGCAGGTCGGGCGGACGAAAGAAGGAGATGAAAAGGGAGGGAGGTAAGAGAAATGGAGACTCACTTAAGTCCGACATGTCGACTAAACCTCCAGCCGACAACGATCAACCAACAACGTGCAAGCCTGCCTGCAGTCATGATGTACCATAGTCGTCCAAGTTCCACAAAAGTGGACAATGCCTCACGCACACATTGTTGTACGTCACTCGAAGTTCATGTAGCACCAAGCTCACAAACCACGTAGCGCCAAGCTCAAAAACCAAGTAGCACCAAGCTCACAAATCACCAAGCCCATGAAGCACGTAGCACCAAGCTCACGAAGCACGTAGCACCAAGCTCATGACCCATGTAACACCAAGCTCACGAAGCACGTAACACTGAGCTCCCGTAGGACCAAAGCCCGAAGCTCATACCACTGTGTGTGTGTGTGTGTGTGTGTGTGCGTGTGCGCGCGCGCGCGCGAGAGAGAGAGAGAGAGAGAGAGAGAGAGAGAGAGAGAGAGAGAGAGAGAGAGTAGCATGCTGAGGCCTGTACACAGGCCCTTTTTCTTACGGCTTGACGGTTGTTAGGGGGCCCCAGGCCGCACGCCATTTTTTGGCTGTGCAACCTGGAGGCCCACGGCCATTTCCAAGCAGGCACGTTTTTCTGCCTCATGCAGGTTCTTTTTTTGATTCAGCATTTATTTATTTCTTTATTTGCTGAGTCTCGCTGTCTGGTCCATTTTTGTTGGTTCCAGGTGCGTCACCCCAGACTCACAAGCGGTTAACAGGGACCCCCACTTTTCAGCCCTGGTTAACCCCCTCAACCCTGAAAAGTGGCCTGAAAATTGAGGCCTCAGTTAACCGTCTCTCCCCAGACTTTCCCCTAATAGGTAGGGCCTGCTTTAGCAGCAGGATACCACCAGGAGGAGGATTTGGGCCTGGGCCTTCGATCGGATCTTAGATCTGACGCTCCTGGATGCAGACCGTGGGCTGCCCAGCCAGGCCCAACACTATATCTAGTGGGAGGGCAGTCCAGTTCGACAGTTGGGCAACATTGTCAGCATCACACTGCTGGAGCCGCATGTGACTCTGGAGTGCTGCGCTAGAGATAGAGGTAGAGGAGTAGGAGGTAGTGGGAGAGTGCTGGAGAGCCATAGCCGCTGGCTGGAGGACGACTTACCTGGGCACCATAGCTTGGATTGCACTTCAGCGACCTGCATCAGAGAGCGCCATTCCACCAGTCAGTGTCGGCAGGACTTCAGCAGCAGCAGGTGAGGGAGACAGAGAGGAGACGTCTCTTTTTCTTCTTCTTCTCCTTCTTCCTGACTCCAACCTCCATAGTCACTGTTCTTCTTCCTCTTCTTCTTCAGAGAGAGAGAGCAGAGCTATTACGGACTATGGGCCCAGGATCTGATTCAACATTCTTGGGGCAGACATTGGTTGGACATTTGACAGGGAGACTTTTTTTTTGACAGCAGTGTATTCGACTCTGGTCTACTCCCTCGCCTCCATCTTCGTCTCGCTCCTTTCTCTCCCATCCTCTGTGGTATACATCCCATGTGCGTGCTCAAGGGGGGACCTTTTTCTGTGTATGGGGCCTCCGTTCTGTCTCACATGTGTGATAATGATGGTATGATCCTTTCGCTCCTTTGCATTGCTGACCTTGTCTATGAGCACGCATCACACACACACACACACACACACAGAGAGAGAGAGAGAGAGAGAGAGAGAGAGAGAGAGAGAGAGAGAGAGAGAGAGAGAGAGAGAGAGAGA